GGCACTAAGCTACCAATGCTCCCTCTTTGACTCATAGGTCCTTGGGTTTCCGAGGCAGTATCACTACGGAAGTAGGATTGCCCAACCTTCCTTCCGAGGAGTGGCTGGTGAGTTTGAACAGCCAGCCGTCTGGTTAGCAGGCAAGTGTCTTAGCCACTATGCTACCAGAGCTCCCATTAAGTAATAGAGATCTGCTAAATGCCTCTTCCAATGGGGACCTTCACCCTCTTCCACTTCGGCCAGGAAAATCCAGAGCCACACCTTAGGCTTGTTATCACTAATAACTTTTAAGGTCTCCTTTTAAAATGTATTTGGGTGGGCATTAGTTAGTCATTACAATCTTATTAACTTGTAAAAGTTTTTTCGTATTACAGGAATTAAGATCTTTGGTATGTGTTGCAACTGTCTTTGTCTTGTAACTCTGTTTATGGTGTAGTTTTTTTTATTTTTCTTTTAAATATACTTACTGATTTTTCTGACCAAGTTATACAGAACTCACCCAAACAGCCCACTCTGACCACAACTGCTTCCCCAAGCCCTTGGCTTCCACTCTATCCTGATCTGTTGGCTCCTTCATCCTGACTATTCAGCCACTTTCACCATCTCTCCAGCCTCCTTGTTGCATTACTAGTCCTAGGCATGACGGGCCAGCCCTTGTCTGGGATTAATTCAATATCCACCTGCATCCAGGGTTGCTGGAGAGATGGGCAGATTGGGCACCATAAGTTCATGGTCTCCAGCTGTCACCAGGGACCTCAGTGCAGCCTTAGCAGTCTTGTAAGGTTTTCTGCTCAGTTCTCTCTTCTAGTCTGCTCAGCACCTATTTCAAACCTTCTCCTTTCTGTCAAGATCCCAGCCCCCGACTCCCTTTGGTAGATGACCTCATCTCCTACTTTACAAAGAGAAGCCATAGGTGTTTGCATTTCAACTCTTGTGCTATGAATCCACATCCACTTTCTTTTCCCCTTCCCATTTGACCTTGGAATATGTGTCCTTCCTTCACCTTGCCATTGACTTTGCAGGGATCCTGCTCTCTTGTCTCCCCACATTTTCCTACTTATTCAATTTACTTTATATTCTTCCAAATTAAAACAACCTTCTCTTGACCCTCATTCCCTTTGGCGATCATTCTTTCTTATCACAGTCAACCTATGCTGGCTGGCTGCCTCCAATTCTTCATCCCCATTCATCCTTAACCCATGGCTTTCTGGCCTCTGTTCCCACCCTGCCGTAACATGGCTCTTATCATGGTCACTCACGATCTCCTGCTTGCTAAGGCCCGTGGATACTTCTCCAGTTCTTTTCAGCAGCTCAGAAGCCACCGACACCCTACCCCTCCCGCATGAACCTCTCTCTTCCTTTGAGTCTGGGCCAGCAGCTCTCTCGGTGTCCCTCCTACCTCTCTGTGACATTCTTTCTCCTCTCAGACTTGCCTTTGCTGTGAGTCCTCTAAATGGCTTGGTCCTGCTTCTCATTTCACAGGCTCTTCATTCACCCTCCCCAACCTCAGACCTCTCTAGTGGAAGTGGGGGAAGCCACACACAACTGTTCTCACAGCATTTCAATCCAATGTACTCAACCAAGGTTCTGAAGCTCAACAGGTCTGGAGTTGAGCTGTTTAGCTCTCCCCACTCTCAGATCTGCTGCATGGCTGGAGTTCCCTGAGGCAGTGAGGGGCATCACCACCCACCCAACTCCTATCTGTTCCTTAACCCCACATTTGAACCCATCAGATTCAAATAATCAAATCCTAAATATCTCTGAAAGGAGCTCTGGTGGCATAGTGCCTAAGGCATTTGACTGCTAACCAGAAGGTTGGAGGTTCAAACCCACCAGGCGCAGAAGCAAGACTGGGCAATCTACTTATATAAAGATTTACCACCTCAGAAAGCCAATGAGGGTTGCTATGAATTAAAAAGACTCAATGGAAGTGAGTTTGGCTTGGTTTTTGAAAATACCCGTGAATTGCCCTCATCTCAAGCTCTAAGATCAAATCTCTCACCACCTCTTGCCCAGATCAATGCAAGCTCATTCTACTGGGTCTTCTTTAACTCTCCATTCAGCAGCCTGAGTCTCTAAATCACCTATTCGATGGGGGACGGGGTGGTTCTCTGCTTAAAGCCCTTCTTGGCTTCTGCTGCTCTCTTTATAGTGACTGTTAACTCCTCTGCAGGAAGAAGTTCTCCTCTGTCCCTCACCGTTGTAGCCATCCCGGTCGAGGTCACCCAGGGGAGCGATGGCAGAACCAAATCGTCCATAGAGGTGGGTGCCGGTCAACTGGAGGCTGGGAGCACCCAGCAGGTGGGGGCCAGAGGGCTGCAGGTACAAGTACACACGCCCCACCTCTGCCAGCTTGCGGTCAGTGCGACGGTCCATGTACAGTGGTGCACCCACCAGCAGGTCATGCCTCCTGTGGGCATCATGTGGGGCTGGTCAAGTGGGATGGTGAGGGCCAGGCCAAACCTTGCCCATCTCCACCCTTCCACTCCGTCTGGGTGGTCACATGGGGTGGGGGCAAGGAAGGGAGGAGGCTGAGTGTGGCCCACGCCTCTGGTGACCTGGTACCCAAGTGGGCTGGGGTGGGATGCTCTCTCCTTACCCATCCCCATTAATGTCAGTGACAGCCACGGCGTGCCCAAAATATGAAGCCATCTGCAGGAAGATGAGGAGCAACTTAACTCACACCTGCGGACCCAGAACCCTTTCTCAGACAGCGCTCTTCGATCCCATGGCATATTCTGGTGTCCTCATCCCCCAGCCTCCATCTCCACTGGGATGTGGCCCCCACCTGATCTCCATGCAGCCGGTGCAGTGTGTGAAAGTATGAGTCCAAAATCTCCACCTGCACCGGAATCACACGGGAGGGTGTCATTGCTAACCCATCGCAGCAGCCTCGGGCTCAGGGTGAGAGAGGGCAAGAGGTTTAGGGAGCGCTGTCAAGCTGAGAACTGGGATGGGGACTTGGGATACTGAGTGGAGGGGCCCCAGGCACTCACCGATCCCTGGGTCCAGCTCCAGGTGGGGGCACCGAAGATATACTCTGGGGAAGGCCAGGCCCAGTAAGTCAAGTCAAGTCCATCGTGCCTGCCCGCCTTCCACCCCCCAGGTCGCTTCCCGGGAGGTGGGGGTGGGGCTGGGTGGAGATTTCGGTGTGGGGCTTGGAGGTGCTTCTTCCAGGCTGGGTTCCCCAACCTCCACCCCTGTCTAAGGGGTTTCTTGCCTGTAGTGCTCGGGTCCCCGTCGAACTCGCCCACCGCCACCGAGTACCCTAAGGACAGAGCTCGAGTTAGTCTTTCCGCGACAGGGAAGCAGGGAGAGGGCCGAAGGCGAGGACCGAGGGGGCTCCTAGACCATCCGGGCCAAACCCTGTGTACATGGGAACGCCGAGGGCGAGGAGGGGCGTTATGAGGGCCGGAGAGAGGCCGGCGCTGTGGGAGCACAGGGGGGAGGGAGGCACCAGGAGCGGTGACCCGGAGGGAGCTGGGAAGCCTGGAAGTTCATTGCCAGGGTTAGTTACCCCGGTAGCCGTCGAAGAACCTGGTGTTGCCGGAGTCGAATGTGAAGTGCTGAGAGGACAGGTGCCACAAGAGGGTGCCTGGACGGTAACTTGAGACGATATCGGCGATTGGAGCCCGGACCAGGAGCCCTAGGGCGGAGGGACAGGGTGTGGGGGCTCAAGGATCTGGGGTCTCCCTGAGGTGCGGAGCCACAAGATGGGAGGGAGGTGTACTGATGGAATGGGGGACATACCTAAGAAATAATAGCCCCCGGGGGCCCCGAGCACCAGCTCCCCAGCCTGTAAGGGAAGCCCGGGAGGTGAGAGAGCGCCCTGTTTGAGGGCCTCCCCCAGGCCGCTCACGTTTACTCGCCTGGGTGACCACGGAGCTGAAGCCTGCTTCGCAGTAGCGCTTGTCGCCTACAGGACGCAAGGAGGCGGGCTTAACCAAGTGGAGGAAGGCGAAGCATGGACACAAGCCTGAGCACGGAGGGGGCGGGGCTGTGTAGGGGCGGGGTATGCGTAATATAGAGGCGTGGCCTTGAAAGGCCAGGAGCGGCGGGGCGGGGTCAAGCCAGGAGCTGGGCCATTGGGCGGAGCCAGATTGGAAGAAAAATTTTAGAAAACTGGGGGAGGGACCAGATTAAGGGCGGAGCTAAATGGAAGCGAGTGGGAGGCCCAAAAACAAGGGCGGAGCTTACTAATTGTACTGTTTTTGTAAGTTTCGGTCATGGTGTTGGCACGGCAGGGCGAGTATACCGCGCGGCCGCCGCTCTGGAGCTGAGCCACCCAGCAGCCACCTACGGGCGTCTTCTCGGCCTCTTCAGTCTTTTCTAGCACATTCCAATGCTGCCAGGGGGCGCAGGCCTGGGGCAGGGCCATAGGAGAGTGGGGGAAGGGCGGGGAGCTCGGGCTCCGCCTCGTTCCTCCCACCAACTGTGTCCCTACCCCCGCCTGCTCCCCATCCCGTCCAGTCCCACAGCCACACCACAATGTTGTCGTTCCAGCTGACGACCGACGCCCCCAGTCCTTGCCCAGCCTTGAAGGTTTGAAAGGTTTGGGAACCCACTTTTTGGGTTTCATCTCCTGGAGGACAGAAGAAGGGGTGGGGCGCTGAACCTGGCCCTCTACGCCCCCTTTGGGCCCTCCTCCTTCCCCTGGACTCACTGAGGTCGAAGGGCAACGAGGTGCACTGGCCGCCCTCGACCCTCCAAGGGCACAGGAACACGCCGCCGGTCTCCTCCCAGCCACGGCCTAGGGTCCGAGGGGCGCCCACCACGATGGCCACTCTGCGGAGGAGAGCTGAGTGAGCGCTGCTCGGATTCCGGCGTGGCCCATGGCCAGTGCCCAAACTGGGAGCACTGCCCAGAGGGCGGTGTGCCATGGAGGGCTGGGCCAGCTTTCTTCAATAAGACCTCACAGACCATCGAGGCCAGCATCTTCACTTTATGGACAGTGAAACTGACTGAGAAAACCACATCCCTTAAGTAATCCAGAGAGTTGAGGATAAAGCTGGGACGATAACCATTTGGTTTGATTTGGATCCGAGGGGTTTTATTCCTGCTGAGAAAGACCTCCAAGCTCTGTACACCGCCTCCACCCCCTCCTCCATTCGGTTCCACCAAACACCAGGGGTTCACATGGTTCCCTTTTTGGGAACTGATTTCAATGATGAAGAACGCCAGAGGGCGCCTCTGAGGCGGGAGGAAGAAAGGTTGTTGACGGAGCTGAGAACGCTGCTAACTCTAGGTTCAAACCACAGCTCCGCCATTTACTGTAGGACATAGCCAAAAGTCATTTAACCTTTTACAGCGTGACTTCATATGTAAAATGAGGACGATAACAGCCAGTCACTGTTATCATGGAGTAAAATGAGTAAATATGTGAGGAACATTTGGCATGCTGTCAAGCCAAGTACTTATAAACGCTTAATAAAATGCTGGATTTATTTATTTATTTTTTTCCTTTTAGAATTCCGGATGTTTATTAGGAGTGAGAGGAGCTCTGGTAGCATAGTGCCTAAGGCACTTGACTGCTAACCAGGAGGCTGGCGGTTCAAACCCACCAGCCACTCCTCGGAAGGAAGGTTGGGCAATCCTACTTCGTAGTGATAACTGCCTCGGAAACCCAAGGAGGGGTCGCTAGGAGTCGGGCCGACTCGATGGCAAATAACAACAATAACAATAATTAGGAGTGAGGAGGGGAAACAAGTGGGCAGGAGTGGAGCTGATATGCAAGCCCAATTCAAGACTTGGGACAACTTTCCCTCGCTCCTCCCATGCTCTGAAGCTAGCTGGACCATTCAAAATTGTCCTGAGGTGAAAGAGTCAGACCTTTCCTACACACACACAGACACACACGCACACGCACGCACGCACGCGCGTGCGCGCGCGCGCCCCCGAATGCTGATCAGTCGTTCTATGTGGGCCACGCTGGAAAAGGTTTTAGGCGATTCTCTTCAGCAGAGAAAATCACGTAAAGGGCTGACACTTGCAGACTGTCTGCCCTTATCACTTCCAGAAGCTGGACATCACAGTGTCCACCGCACTGAGTAGCTCAGGGTAACACAGGTATTAATAGGGGGAATTTGACAGTCTCGTTCCACAGCCTAATCAATCCCAACCATTCTCTATTGCTTCTTTTCAAGTACCTATACTTTTGAGCATAGGGAGGCGGGAAATGGAAGGAAGAAGGAGTGAAAAGACAATTTTAATTTTGCAAGTCATCTAGGACATGTGTTTTTCTGTATTCCAAGGGGATGAAAGTGGAGTGGGTCTTACAACTAAACCTCCAGAGAAAAATAAGGCACCAACTTCTCTCTTCCTTTGTTCTTGTGCTCCCTAGGGTCTCTCTTCAATATTTCTAACCAAAGCTCTGCCTCAAGAGACCTCAGAAATTATCTTGCTCAACTTCCATCATAAATGGGGAAATCAAGGTCCACAGAAGCAGTCACAGTGAGGAGGGGTTCCTTCTCCCAACCCCCAAACTTCCCACAAGGCTCACCTTCCATGGCTGTTCTTGTAGAAGTCCAGTGAAAATCCAAAGTGGCTGCCATTGGGGCCTGTGTAGGTGGTGAGGTGCACTGGGTCCAGGTTCAAGGCCTGGGCTGGAGGAGTACCACAGGGTCCTAAAAGCAGCTGTGCCCACCCCAGGAGCCAGAGGGAATGCGGTGGACACAAAGCTCTGGCCATCTTCCTTCTCCCACAGCCTTCTAGGCAGCAATGCGGTAGCCTCTCCTTCTTCCCTTCAGTTTCCACCCACAGGAGGTTTTTTTCTTATCAAACTGGGGCCCAAAGTAACTTGCTGAGCAGTGGGTAGAGCCAAGGGCTATATAGTCCCTGCACACATCCATATGGTCTCTACGATTGCCAGGAAAGGGTGGGGCTTATAGTTGGTTGACAGCAGGAACTCCTCTCCTATTCTGGCAACAGTTTACCACCAAATCCTGTTGGTTCTGCCCTCAACCATGTCTCTTGAATCTTCTCTCCATCTCTACCATCACCACTCTAGTGAGAGTCACCATCACTTCCTGTCTGGGACAGTACAATCATGAATTTACTGGTCTGTACATCTCCACTGTACCCCAGTTCTACAACCTTCCCACTTGCCCTCCCTTTGCCCCCAAAGCTGGCTGCTGCACTGCTGTGGCACATGATGACTTGGCCAGAAGTGGGGGAAGGAATAAGGAAACTGCTGCCCCCTGATATGACTTCAGGCTACTGTATCCTTTTGGATAAGGCATTTAACCACTTCCTCTTTCTAGGGCTTTCAGCAACATCAGCCAGCTATACTGGGGCTGCAGCTTCCTCAATCGTTCATCTTGGGCCAGTCTTGGTGCTGCCATGGCAGTGCAGCCAGTGCTGGGAGGAGGATGGTAGATGGATTTCAGCCTAAAGAACAAGGAAATGGGGAGAATGTGAAATTCTTTCAGGGTATTCTGGTTCACTGGCTCTGAGATTATATACTAACTATTCAGTTGAAAGGAGCTCTGGTGACATGGTGCCTAAGACATTTGACTGCTAACCAGGAGGCTGGCGGTTCAAATCCACCAGCCACTCCTTGGAAGGAAGGTTGGGCAATCCTTCTGTAGAGATACTGCCTCGGAAACCCAAGGAGGGGTCACTCTAAGTCGGGATCGACTGGACAGCAGCATTGAGTATTCAGTTGAAGGCAGACTCTTGCTCCTTCTTGGATGAGAGCACTTGCTTAACCAGTAAGACTTGACTCTGCTGGGGTCATTGCCTAGACAAAGACTCCCCTAACTCCTCAAGCTGGCACACGGTGTTAAGACTTACCGGCACCGCTCTGGTGACACTGTTTAGTCGAGGTCTATTCACTGGATTGTGTGAATTGAGAGCACAGTTCCTTCCTGATGCCCCAGGGCCTAACGGTAGCAGGTATGACTGGACATGACTGGACGACAAAAGGACTAAAGGAGAGTATCCAATAAAGATGCAAATACAGGGTTAAAGAGAAGAGTTTTGAAAAGCCAAGGTCATCTGTGGCTTTGAGGAAGAGGACAGGAGTGCCAACTAATTTGCACCACACGCCTTCCTAAATAAGCAGTCATCAGAAAGAAGAATTGCATTTTGTAGTGGTAAAAGAACATAGTCACATTTTCCTTTTGGTCCGTATCTCCTTCTATCCCCTTATCCTGCCCACCATTCTGTGCTACTCTGGAATCCTTTCAGCTCCTCCCCTTCACACTTCACCCCATAGCTCAAAATCCTATCCCTCATCAAGTTAAATGCTAGTCTGGGCCTTCTTCATGGCTGAATTCCCAGTGCCAAGCTCATGGTAGGCATATTTGTTAAAACGAATACTTAACCCAGTCCTTAAGAATAAGGGGGTATCAGGATTGGAGGAAGATTAACAACCTGTGATACGCAGATGACACAACCTTGCTTGCTGAAAAGTGAAGAGAACTTGAAGCACTTACTGATGAAGATTAAAGACTACAGTCTGCCGTATGGATCACACCTCAATATAAAGAAAGTGAAAATCTTCACAGATGAACCAACAAGCAGCAGCACAATAAATGAAGAAAAAATTGAAGTTGTCAAAGATTTCATGGATCCACAATTACCACCAATGGAAGCAGTAGTCAAGAAATCAGATATATTGCACTGGGCAAATGTGCTACAAAAAAACTCTTTAAAGTGCTGAAGAGCAAAGATGTCTCTTTGTGAGGAGTGTATCCAAGAACATACATAAGGTTGGCAGACAATGGTCCTATAAGTTTATGTGAATAATCAGAATTCCCAGGTGTATAGTAGAGTTGACAAGGGGAAGGTTGTGGTCACTGCTTGGTCACAGCCAGCTACCCAGAGCAACCGAGTAGTTGAACCTGTGGGCTTGGGACCATAG